ATTGTGATATAAAAAACATTCTCGACCATTACACAATGAAATTAATTAAGCATATTCCTTAATCAATTTGGTCTTATGGATTACCCTCCTAGCAACTTCAAAGTGAAAATAAAATGCATTTGAAGCTAGGAATTTGCCTTCAAGAAAAGACCTTTTAATTGTAGTGGTGAAAAATCTAAGAAGTAATCAAATGAAGGAGGTTAAGATTCTTCTTTCCATGAGGCAATCAGGAACCACAAGAGAGGGTGCCCAGGAAAAAGGGAGGTGGTACATATGATTGAAGTGAGCTTTATTCTATCTTCTTCTACACATTTTAATGAAGTGATTCAAAGAGATTACCCATCTGAAAAGTGGCAGGACTGAGGCAGCAGCCCGGTCTTTAGCTGTGTGGGGGTATTTTCACATCCTTACTTTTACTTCTTTTGGAGCACTCTGTATACAATGCCAAAGCCTGTGTACAAGGTTCCCATATTTCTTGAGGCACCCAACAGAATCTGCATTGAGAGTTGAGATCCAGCATGACTTCCCCATCATTCCCACTTTCAAAAGTTCATATGTACACTTCAAAAAAGATTTTTATTTAGTTCCCATTTTCATTTTTTTCCCTCCTCAAGGCTCAAGTAGTTTTGAGTATTAGTACTAGTATTTAAGTTGTATAACACATGCTTAAATTAAAATAGACCCTGGCGGGCAAAAACAAATTTATATTTATAGTCATTTAACCATTATATAAAAAAAAAACAAACCTTGATTTAAGGGTTAACTCAATCAATAAAATTGCAAACCCTTTAACTATCTCATTTCTTATACTAGAGTAAGCTCTTCCACCTTATACTAGTTTAATCTATCAAAACATGGCAATTCTTTCCATCATAACTGAAAATTGATAATTAAAACGTACACGTTTTCTTCACATATATTTAATAACTCAATTAAGAAGACCCAAAGATGAAAAAAAAGAAAAAAAGAAAAAAAAAAGAAAAAAAGAAAAAGAAAAAGAGAAGAGAATAAACAAACCATATTGTTTTAAGAGTACTAAGTTAGGCCAATTGTCCCAATAATGACAACAATGGGAATAGACAAGAAGTTCTTGAAGATCATTGATATCGATTCCATTTTCTTTATTTGATTGGATTGATTTGGAAGAGTGGGTGAGGCTGGGGATTCCTTTTCAGAAGCAGGCTGTTTCCACGAGAACCCCAATTTGTGGCACTACGTACCTTTTTCTCAATAATGGCAGACTATGCTATTTTGCCTGTCCAAATCCTATATCCATACACTGTGCAAAGCATAAATTAAAGTGAAAACAACTAGAAAAAGAGCTCAATTACTTTCCTCATTTTAGGTACCTTAACTTTAATTCCCACATGAAATAGAAACGTTAAGCGGATTCGACGCTCTCACGCTTTTGGCCAAAAGAAAAAAAAAGGGGAAGATTTGATGCTTCATCAACATGAACGGTAGGACGTACACTTACTATTACCAAATGTAAACATGATTGATTACTTCTAGCCCACATTATTCGTTCAAAGGTACAAGTTGTCCATGGTATATCTAGATGCAACCCGAAATTGAAGAATGGGACCCTGTGTTTGTGCCTCTTTAAAAGTGCTAGCAATTGAAGCAATGATCTTGTATCTTCGACTTTAGTGGCGGCCGCCTTAAGCCCGCATTAGATGTGTAGTCAATATAGTCCAGCCCACTCATTCAATTTACTTCTGGTTTTGATATGGGCCATCGGGGGCCCATGATTTATATTCTTACTAGGGGTTATTATGGGCCGTTACTTGCCCTCTTAATAATCGACCTTAAATCTGGCACACATTAAAATCCAGTAAATGAAAATAATGGGCCAATGACAGCCCAAATTCATTATGGGCTAGAGCTAGCCCACATTAAAACTTCAATGAAAGGTTTACAGTCCAACGTTTGTAGAGGTGAGCATTACACACACCTAGTACCTGCCAGTACCATACTTTTTTCTTTTTTTTTTTTACAAGGATAATAATTAGTAAGTTAGTTTTATTAGTTGTTAACAACTGAAAATTCCATCTCCAGATCTGGTGAATATCTCACCTCCCTCAATGAGGTGCACGGCCTATCAGGCCGCTTGGTGGAGTTATGCAAGTACCATACTTGAACTGAAAAAAATTGAGTAGATAATGAGTATAAAAAAGACTATACTCATTAGTATTAATTCAAATAACAAATGTAGAATAAAAGTTTAGAACTATTTACTCAACTTATTTAAGCGACATGTTACGTGTACTTATAATACTCACCCCTCATCAACAATATATTCTGCAAATGTTCATACAAAACCAATGGAGATGCTGTGATTGCCCATGCAATTACTATTGTATTGACGCTCAAAATTTTATTCGTGGCCTGTAATACCACGTTGGTCTAACACGATTGTATGGGAAAATATTTTCTCCAACACCTAGCACCACCGTGAATAATCAACGATCTTCTTCCCTCCCCACTTCCATCTCTGCCAGAGGCACTTATTTGTCTTCCTAATAAATTTAAGAGAAGTACTAGGCCATCAGGGGCAACCAAAAAAAAAAAAAGGAGAAAGATGATACTAAAAATGGGGAGCAACATTCTAGATGCCTATTTCGACAATGGATATACAGTTGTTCGATGTCCCTATAAACCTTTGCAAGAATGGCACCCTTTGGCATGAATTCAAAACCTCCCGGGTCTTAAATGTATAGCTTTTGGTGTCATTGTCTTGGCAACATGAGGAAGCCATAGGTCATGCAAGGACAGGACTCCGACCTGTTCTATGATGCAGGGTAGCAGCATAATCCCGTGCCCATAAGTCATAATGAACTATTTCCTCTAGAGATGGTGTTAACACCAGTTCTGCTTGGTGTTTCTCACATGTCAGCTCAACAAACTTGAAAATATCCAGATAGCTAATCCTGAAATCAGCAAACAAACAATTCATTAACTCACATTTTTATGGCAAACAAATACATGAAAATGCAGAATGTATTGTTGCAAATAAAATACGTACTCTTCATTGATGAACATTTCTACAGCTTTCTCATTAGCTGCACTAAGAACTCCGGTCATGGTGCCACCAGCCCGTCCAGCAGCATAGGCAAGACTCATTGATGGATATTTTATATTGTCAGGAGCCTTAAATGTTAGCGAACCAAGCCTGCACCATTGAAGAACAAGTATAACTCAAACAAACAAGTAAAGAGACAATGAGTTTTCAGCCAATTTTACCATTTCCAACTAATGCAAAAAACAATGGCCACTTAAAACAATCCTGCATTAAAAACTTCCACAATGTGGTGAAACATGGAATGACTTGGTTGAAAAGGCATCAACAACATTCTTTATTTTTTGGCCAGAATGATTTTACACTTTGTGTGATTTAACTTTTTGTGGAAGGTGACAGCCAAAAAAAGAAAAAAAAAAAAAATTGTGGAAGGAGAAGGAGCAGTATCCAGTCCATCACTCCATTGTCATCCAAAAGGCATGTCTTTTTCTACCATTAAACATCACAACTAACAGCAAACAAGCCTTGATGTGTAACAGAATGCTAGTTCCATATTCACACCAGCAGTGTCCTCTGATTTATACAATAGAAGAATACCTGATTGGATGGGGATCAAACTTTGAAAGAGATCAAACTTTGAGAGACGATGTATTGTCTGATTTTATAGTGGGGAACATATTAAAAAAAAATAAAAATGCAGACTTATGGTCTCATTTTAAGGGGTTTGATTGAAGCTCGTTGACAACAGTAGAACAAACTCTCAGAGTGAACTTGAATTATATGTAAATCATCGAAAAGAAGTGCATTAAAAATGATAAAATTAGTAAAACTAAAATGTTGACTACTTACTTGCAAAGATCAAGGCGAGGCCAGGTTATTTCAGAGCAATAAATTCTTTCTGGCCATGACATTGTGTAGAGGATTGGCAGCCGCATGTCTGGCCATCCCAACTGTGCAAGAATAGATGAATCCTGGAAAGATATGAAAAAAAAAAATGATAAGAAATGATAAAAGATATATTCTAATATGTGGTCTCAAAGTCTTGTCATTTAAATGGAACATGTGACATCAGTTGCACAAGCAGCAGCCAGCAATATGACAGAAATAAGAGAAAAACCTGTGTTTCAATCATTGAATGTATAATTGATTGTGGATGAATTACTATCTCAATATTATCATAATCAGCTCCAAAAAGATAATGAGCTTCAATGACTTCCAGCCCCTGTTAATAGAGAAAGAATGGAAGAAATGAAAATTAAACAGGAAAAAAATAAATAAAAAATTAAACAGGAAAAAAATAAATAAATCAAAGCACACTGGTTGGAGTGTTAAAAAAATGAGACATTTGATAACATTACCTTATTAAAAAGGGTTGCAGAGTCCACAGTAATCTTTTTCCCCATACACCAGTTTGGGTGCTTCAAAGCATCAGCTACTTTAACCTCTTTCAACTTCTCAACAGGCCAATCCCTGTCAGCAATAGTGGACATATTATTCTATTCAGTCTCAAGGATGAGATAAATAAAAACAAGAGAAACATCGATGAACTAGACAATACAACATGATCCAAGAAAGAATGCGCATATGTAAGGGCAAGCATTTTTCTGAATATAGTTTCAACTGAGTTTTCACAAGTCCTTTATCAAAAAACGTTGGAAGCAGAGATGTAGTAAGGCAAGCTGAGCTGCTTTTGAGATTCAATAAAAAGACGTAAAGAAAGCCTACAAGTAAATGGCAATTAAGCACTCAACTAATCAAAATTGTATTCAAGTTACAATACTTGGCTTGCATTTACCTCTAATTTCCTCTACTACCCTACTTTTCAACCTAGAAGCCTAAATTTTCTAGGTAAAATTTTGATCCTATACCTGAAAGCGCCACCAGATGCAGTCAAAATGATACGCCGAAGTGCACCATCTGGCAAGCCCTGAATACACTGAAGGAAGGGAATTTGTATAAGCTTCTGTAGCTAACATGCATATAGAATTGAAGGGCAGAATGACCAAATGATTATACATCATTAGTAACAAGATGAACAAAGGAAAATATAGAAGTGCACAAATTCCAAGGAGAAAAAACATTGTATAATAAGCCACATCTTTGATCCAGTCAATACTCAAATTTCAAATAGACTTAGCTTGTCACTTAAATATTCATACCTGAAATACAGCAGAATGTTCAGAATCAGCTGGAAGAATTTTTACTTTATGCTTGTGAGCTAGAGGAAGGACAAAAGGACCACCGGCAATCAAGGTCTCCTTATTTGCCAAGGCTATATCTTTCCCAGCTTCTATTGCAGCCACAGTAGGCTAAGAAAAAAAATATAAAGGTGGAGATTTTAGCTGGTTAATTAATGTAATATAAAAAATTGACATCTTGGCTATCTCTCTACATACCATCCTCATCTTAATTTCTGGAAGTAAATGGTGCATTTTGATAGAATCTTCAAAACATTTTATTAGGTAAATATATGCAAAGGTCAACAAAAATTGTAGAAACATGAGTGCTGCTCCAAATGAACCTAACTTTCTGAGAGCTACATGGTTTCAAATGTTTCAACAGGAGTTTCCTTTTATCCTGATTCCAGTCTTTATTCTTTTCATAATATTGCTGCCACCGGGTAATATTGATTTCTTATCAGAGCTAGCAACTAAAATTAACTACTTATTTGGAATAGGCATACACTCTGCCTGAAAATCACAAAAAGTATTCATATTAAGGTATTCTCAACTGTTGTAAAGTATTCATATTGAATAGATAAGAGTTGTGTTGTGGCCATTCTGCATGCCATCATTAAGACGGGTTTAAGAATAATAAGCCAGACCCTTTTTCTTCTTTGGATCCACAAAGGAGTAAAGCCAAACCATCAAGCAAAAGTTGGCCAATCAGGTATATATGAAACTTTGCTCCCTTATCTTTCACTTGAGTGCATCACACTAAGATTTAATGGCATTTGACAAAGAAACTGAATATACACCCATTACAGGAAGTTGCTTGAGGATGGGCATTACAGGTCACAGGATGCAAAAGGGAAAAAAAAAAAAGAAGCATGAAGAAGAAATGTATCACTCAGTACCTTTAATCCAGCACAACCTACTATTCCTGTAACTACGGTGACAGCATCTGGGTGTTGGGCAACCTGGAAAAAATAAGCATTATCATCTAAACTGTGACATGCAATTTTATTTTCCAAACTAAAGATATGACAAGAATTAGATGAAAGGATACCTCAATAACCCCTTGCTCCCCTGGGACAATTTCAGGCTTTTGTTCAACATCAGCCAAAGCCTCTTTCAGTTCACCAACTAATGACTGGTTTCTTATGGCAACCAGTTGAGGTTTAAATCTCCTAACCTGTAACATTGAAGAGAAGGTTCCAAAATGTTAGCTTCTACATCTAGGTTTACTTGTATCTCATAGAATCATATAACCATCTTAAATGAAAGAATAAATCAACTCAGGAACATTTGTGGTACATCACTCATGAATTGAGTAACCCAAATCCAGATTTGCTACCTCTAAATTGAATCTATGAACTGTTGCAAGTTGGAACAACTGATATACTGCAATTTATCAAAGACCCCATGAAACTAGACTGCCTACCTGATCAGCAAGAAGAGTTACATTTGAACCAGCAGCCAAAGCCACAATTTTGAACTTATCTGGATTCTCTGCTACTATGTCCAATGTCTGCAAAATGCCAAATTATGATTCTTACAAGATGACAAAGAGCCAGAAATGGAGTAACCCCAAAGTTTAATCGCATAAATTTATGTACAACACAAAGAATAGTTTTTCTTTTCTTTTAACCTGAGTTCCAATGGAGCCGGTAGAACCAACAACTGAGATAGGCTTGGGACCATCCCAAGTCTTCCGGTCGGGGTCTGGAAAAGCTCGTCCTGGCCAGGCTGAAGGTGGTTGCTGAGCCTGAACTGAGCACTGGATTCTAGTACCAAATCTGGTGCTGCAATCCTTCCTCTTAAAAGTGAACTCTCCTAAAATTCACAAAGCAACGCACTTCAAAATAAGAACTTGTCCATCTCTAGCAAATTCTAACACAGAGATTGTAAAACCAAATCCCATCACATGATTTGGAAAGCTGGAGGCTGAATTCCACTTACAATTCAATAAAAAATAAAAAATAAAAAAAAACTATGGGGATTAATGATAAGAAACCCAAAAAAAAAAAAAAAAAAATCTGTACTCAAACGGTTTGTATTCAGATGTCAAAGAGAAGGAAAAGAGAAAAGAGACAAACTTATTCTCGTACAATTGAGTGAAAATGTGAGAAGAAAACGATGGAAAAAGAAAATTGGATAAAGAAGCTTTTTATCTTTTTCCTATTGCGATCCATTTGGGAACCAAAACCCAGAAAGAAAAAAACTAAAAGTTGCTTCTTTTCTGCAATTTCTCGGGAACCAAGCAGCAAAACAAGAGGGAGAAGTGAGGTAAAAGCACCTGGAAATAGCTTGGGAAAGTTGATGGACTTTGATTTGGTGGAGTCGAGGAAGGAGAGAGACTTGATTTCAGCTGGAGAAAGTGAGTTTAGAGCCATTAGAGTCGAAAATTGCTCTCCAATTCCAAAACCAAGAAAGAATATTCCAAGAACAGCACCGACTTGGGGGAAGAAAGATGAAACTCCGAAAAAGGAAGAATTGTATTTATAGAATTTGTGGTCCGGGAGTGGCAGACGCTCTGTTGAGTCTGTTCATGCATGGAAAGTGCGCGAGGACGCAGGCGGTTCTCCGGTTCGGGTGGGTTCGGTTCTAGACTGCTTTCCGTTCTTTATAAACCGAACGTTCTAGCGAGTGAGGAGGCAGGCGGTTCGGGTGTGTGCTCTGGGTCCACGTGAATTTCATTTTTTTAATTTAAGATATGAATATTGCCATATTTTAGTTAAAATTATCGTTTATTATGTTATTATTTTTATTAAATAAATTTTTAAATAAAAAAATTTAATATTTTTATTTTTATTTAGAAAAGAATAAAAATTTATCTTTTAATTTAAAATTTTAAAAAGTTTATACCTTTAAATAACAAATAGTAAAATTTACATTTTTATTTGTGCCCTATTTTCATAGCAAACTTAAGTTGAGTTTGAGCTCTTTTAACTTGTTGGTCTTTTATTTGATTCTGATTTGAGTTGAATTGGGAGAATTGTTACAATAATTAGATAAAAAATATATTTTGTAATCTAATAAACATTATCATAATATTTTGATAAATGAGATTTAAGTTGAGTTGCACAATTCTAGACTTAAACTATTTTTATATTAAATATTAATGTAATAAATCACAATATTAAATAAAAATATATAACATGTATTTTTCTTAATATAATTTTCAATCTATAAAATTTCTGTTTACATTTTTTGAAAGGAAAAAATATTTTTAACTTTTTTTATATAAGACGCACATAATAATATTTTTATCAACTTTTTTTTTTATCAATTTCTTATAAAAAATTAACAACCTAATAAAATTTTAATATAATTTCACTATAAAACTTACTTTTTCAATAAAAATATTTTAATAAATTTATAATATAACCAAACATGCCATTAGTTTAACTGTTTTGAAATCACACCTTCATAAATGGAGGCGGTTTTGAATAAATAAGCAAACCAACCAATGGACCAATATGGTTCATCTTAGTTGGGTAGTTACAGGCACAAAATTGGTAATGACAGGAAAGGGACGGGTAGGCATTGGGGTGAGGACAAGTGGAGGATAAGACGACAGAGGGATTGTTAAAAGTGGAAAATTGAGTCCTGGAGAATTTGTATCCGGCAAGTATTTCATATAACTTTACTTTTTGACAAAAACCTACTATTTAACTTTTACTTTATTAAGTTTATAGGTTTTAACATATCATTTCATATTATAACACTTTTAACTATTCATCTATTATAATTAAAAAAATAATTTTTATTTTATAATATTTCATTAGTTCTATTAACTGATTATTAATTTT